TCGGCACGCTTCATCGCTCGTTGGAACCGCAGGACCTTCCAGCACAGGAGCTCGAGCACGCAGGGGAGGTCATTTACCACCCCAAAGACATTATAGATATCAAGGCGGCGTCCTGGCACGACCTGTGGGCACCGCAGCAGATGGATGAGGAATTGGCGCAGCGAGCCTTCATTAAGTCCGAGAGGCCGCCCGGGAGGATCTGCTGCCGCCTATCTCAGTCAGCGACATACGAGGTGCTGTGCGGCAGATGCGTCCCCGAGCAGGGCTTGGCATAGATATGCTCTCGCCAGAGGACTTCGAGCGTCTCCCCGACACGGCGCTGGCTGAGCTGGCGATGTTGTTCGAGGCATGCGAGCATCACCTCGGATGGCCTGCTCAGGTCCTCTCGTTCGTGGGGCGCATGCTGCCCAAGAAGAGCACGGGCGACCGCATCATCGGACTCGTGTCCATGATGGGACGTCTGTGGAGCCTGATCCGCGAACCGCTGGTTCGCCAGTGGACCAGTGACACGGAGACCTCCTGGGACGCTGCAGTCCGCAGGAAATCCAGTTTGCGCGAGGCCTTCATACGGCCCCTCCAGCAGGAGGTCCCACACCACTTGGGCATCGCGTGCGGGGAGGGCCTCGTGGACATCAAGTCCTTCTACGATTCCATCGAGTGGCCTGGACTTGTGTGATGTTCGCTTAACTTGTCTTTCCCACCGACAATATTGTACCTAGAGTTGCTGCAGTGCGCGGCACCGCGCACGGTGGGCCAGCTGGGCGCCACGTCGCGGGCCTTTCAGCCGACGCGCAGCGTGGTGCAAGTGCTGCGCTCTGGCACGCGCTTCGGCAAGGCCATGACACACCACGTGCTGTCTGCAATCGCGGTGGCTCACCCGCGGGCGAGCCACCGCATCTGGATTGACGATCTCTCGCAGGGTGCACGTGGGTCGAGGTCGGCAGCGCGGCGGCAGCTCGCGCCTTGCATCATCGACACCTGCACCGAGCTCCGCGCCAAGAAGCTAGCTGTATCCCCGAAGTCCGTGGTCATCTGTACGCATCACCCGGATGCTAAGTGGATCGCGGCCAGGGTCAAGAGAACAGGCTTCACCATCCGTCGCGTGCACGCCAAGGTGCGCCGCGTCGCGTGGACGGCCAAGAAGTACCAGACGCGTGGGCGCCTCGAGCGCCAAGGTGCTCAGGCCGCTGGAGTCTGCGGCCACAAGGTGTACAGGACGTTCGGCAGCAAGACGATGGACGTTCGGAGGCGCTTGGGCATCGCGCTGGCAGCTCCCGCGAGGGGGCGGTGCCTGGCCAGCCTGCTCGCCCTCCGAGCGGGGGACGCTGACCCTGCCATCCAGATGCCCACGGCCTGCGTCGACCAGTGGCTGACTACGCGGAGGGGTGCCCCTGGGCTCAGGCCTGGAGTGCGACAGGCCTAGCGTCAGGTTGTGCAGCACCTGCGCACCACCCCTGAGGCCCAGCGCTCACGGCACGTCCGTGGGCCTCTCTCCGCGGTGGTGCTACACCTCATGCAGGCGGGCTGGGGCGTTGACGAACCCACGGCATGGACAGTGCCGCCGCCGCATGAGGCAGCAGGGGACGACTGGAGACTCGACGACAGTATGTACACGGATGACAACGCAATTGGCCCCCATGCTGCCATCTTGGAAGACTTTCGGATTTCGCTGAGATGTATGTTGTGGAATTGAGCTAGCCGCCATATCTGCGGGACTGGCCTTGAAGGAGGTGTGGGCTGTGCTTCATATCGTGTACTTCTTCAGCAGCTCGCTGCAATGCCAGGCTACGGGCACCGCTTGTCCGAAACCATGCTGACGTGCGCGATCGGAGGCACTTGGCCCATGCAGAGACGCAAAGATGAGATAGCGAGTTTCGACGGCAACGTGGTGTGCCCGCGATGCGGGAAGGAGCCCGAAACGGCCAAGCACCGCACCTGGATCTGCGAGTGCAACCAGGACAAGATGGCTTTCGACGACTCGCAGGACCTTCTGCCGCAAGCAGTGGCGCAGATGGACACGGACGAAGGCTTCTGGTTGAGGGGCATGATGCCTGCTGCGTGGACGGCAGTCCCCCCGCCCGTCTCAGTCGAATGCTGGACTGTGAAGAGACTCAATGAAGTCTCTCCAGGCTGCTGGGGGGAGGACACGGCAGAGTGCCCCCTCATCATCAGTGGCGATGCTAGTGGAGGAGCTGACAGCAGCAGCAATATGTTCTGGCGTGTTGGAGTTGCTGTAGCCCTTTTCGCCTTCCTAGAGCCTGTCGTCGAGCTTGCCAGCACCGTCTGAGGGCCGCTGTGTGGCCCCCGCCAAGTTGTAGCGAGGTGCGGGCTGCGTGCGCTTGTGCTCGCAATTTGGCTTTCGCGAGGTTCCATGGTATGTGTGTCCGATTGCGAACCTGGAGTAAAGGGATGGTTTGCTCGCAGATACGAGACGCCGCAGGGTGAGGACAGAGATCTGTGGGCGCAGCCCGGCAAACTTCTAAGGCAGAGAGTGGGTGGAGCTGCGTCGGTGACAGTTGTTTCACCAACTCTCACCTCACGGCTCAGGACATTGTGCGTGAGGTGGCGCCCAGATGGTTGGTGTCCAGCCATGCAGTTGTGGACGAGGTTGCGGGCCTCGCAGCGAGGGAGGCACGGCTTCCGCAGCAGGTTCGGACCACAGTTCTCTTACATGGGCAGAGAGCAAGGCTTGTGCGCATGCGGATCTTGCGCGCCACGCTCGATGCCTGCGATGCCGAACTGGAAAACAGAGTCGAGCCTCGTGGGAAAACGTCCGTCCCCGCCCCGCCTGCCCCCCCCCCCTCTGCTGCGTCTCTCTATCTCTCCCTCTTCTCTTCTAGCCACTGCCTTGATGAGACAGGGCGAAGGTGCACACGCTGTGGGGGCTCAACCACGAGGGCGAGAGCCACGGCATGGCGTTAGTCACCTTGATTCGAACCCCTGGACTATAACGGAGTTATGTTCTACAACCCCCCCCCTAGCCCAGTTGCACATAGCGGGGGGTTTGTCGACTCCTCTCATCGTATGCAGTGGCATGATGACCTGAATGTGTGGTATTGTAGTCGGTGTGGGTGCTACGGGCATCAGTTGCTGGATGGGCTCGGCCGTCCTTGTCAGCGCCCCACCCCTAACAGGCTTGAGTATCTCTCAAGAATCGCTAGGGGGCTCTGGCCAAAGGTTCTGGGCAAGACGGAGAAGGCCACCCGACGCAAAGGGGCACCATGAGGGTTGGCCCTTTGTCGCAGTGCATGTTGCATGTCTGTCGTCAGCATTGTCGATTGTCTTTGCACCTCTGACGTTGTCATATATCCAGCTCCAGTTCCAGCTCCTCCTCCTCCTCCATTTCCTCCTCCTCCGCCTCCTCCTCCTCTTCCTCCTCATCATCATCATCATCATCAGCAGCGGCATCCGCATCATCATCCTCATCATCGTCGGCATCATCATTGTCATCATCTTCATCATCCTCATCATCATCATCAACATCATCATCACTGTCGTCATCATCATCATCATCATCAGCATCGGCATCCGCATCATCATCATCATCATCATCATCATCATCATCAGCAGCAGCAGCATCATTACAATCATCATCATCAGCATAATCATCATCATCGGCACCATCAGCATCAGCATCAGCAGCAGCATCATCATCATCATCCTCACCCTCATCGTCATCGTCATCGTCATCATCATCATGATCATCATCATCATCATCATCATCATCATCATCATCAGCAGCATCAACATCGCCATCAGCATCATTATCAGCATCGTTCTCGCCCTCCTCTTTCTCTTCCCCATCCTCCTGGCATAATAACCAAATTCTGCCTCTCCAGATGCCGGGGAATCTCCGGGGGCTGGACAGGAGAACGGGAGTGCAGGCCGACCGTGCAGCAGCATCAGGCCCCGATTGCGTCGACATCATCTGGGCCACCCACCCTCCTCCCCCTCCCCCTCCTCCACCCTCCCTCCTCCTCCTCCTCCTCCCCCTCCTCCTCCTCCTCCACCTCCTCCACCTCCTCCTCCTCCTCCTCCTCCTCCTCCTCCTCCTCCTCCTCCTCCTCCCCCGCCTCCCCCTCCTCCTCCTCCTCCTCCTCCTCCTCCTCCTCCTCCTCCTCCTCCTCCTCGGGTCGCCTGCGGCCCTGGGGGAGACCGTGCAGCTCTGGGTCTCGGTCCGCTCCTTTGCTCGTTGCTCAGGGGGGCCTCCTCGTGGCCGAGGCTCGCCGCGGCCCGAGAAGCCAGACCGTGCCTGCTGCAGTTGCTGCTTGACACACCGTTTCAGTTACGCTAGGGCTCCCAACTTCGCGCTTCGCGCTGCGCGAAGCGCGAAGCGCGAATAACTTCGCGCTCTCGCGCCGCCCTCCCAAAGGGAGAATAGGAGGACGAGGAGGAGGGGGAGAAGGAACGAGGACCGCGAAGCGCGAAGCGCGAATAACTTCGCGCCCTCGAGGGAGCCCTTACAGTTGCTGCTTGACACACCGTTTCAGTTACGCCACCTCCCCTCCTCCCTGTGCAGACGCAGCGTTGGTCACGAATTGCTCAGCATCGTGCGGGGCCCTCAAGGGTCCCAGAGGTATTCGCTACTCGTTTGACAAGAACCGTACATCAAAGTACTGTTGGAAAGAAGTTTAACGAGCAGTTACCCTGGCTCCCTGCGGCTACCTCATGCGACGTTGGCAGCAGGGGCCAGGTTGACCCTCTGGAGGGCCTTGGCTGCGGCCCCTGTGCACAGAACATGACATGTGCAATTTTCCCTGGAAGTAGAAATTCGCCACTTCGTTAGCCTCCAGAGGGGTGTTGCGAATACCAGGGGCCACTGCTGCACTGTTATGAAGCAGTCGTGAGTATAGCACTCACGGGACAAACAGACAACATGGCGTCAATGGTGTGCGTATCGTATCGTATCCTCCTCCTCCTCCCCCTTCTCCTCCTCCTCCTCTTGCGACGACGACGAAGACTGCCCTCGGACGAATCGGAACAAACCCCTTCACCAATACCTGGAGGATGGACTCCCCAGCCGTCAGGTGCAGCTGCCAGGTCACTTGCGGCAGTTGCGTGATCAGGCCCAACACGGAGGCCATGTACTCCACCTGCCCGGACCCAATTGCGCTGAAATGCAGCATGGTCGGTGAACGAGCTCGGCTTACTCTGGTAATTATTATCCCCCTCTCTTCTCCCATACTGGTATCTCTTCCCCCTCCCTCTCCCTCTCCCTCTCCCTCTCCTCCTCCTCCTCCTCCTCCTCCTCCTCCTCCTCCTCCTCCTCCTCCTCTTCCTCATCCTCCTCCTCACACGTAACCGAACGCCACGTGTCTGTCCTCATCGCCCGGCCAGCTGGAACCGCACAGCGGCGACGATCGAATGAGCAGCTCGCTCTTCGAGAACTTCATATCCCCTGACCGATATCAGCCGGTGGTAGAGCAGAGTAGCGGCAGCAGGGACATTGAGAGAGTCAACTACCAGCAGGTGTGCCAGAGCTGACCCCATTGAGCTGGCAGGATCGGGAAAACGAACTCAAGCCTCCCCGTCCGCTCTGTCTAAGGTTCGAGCCCCAGGACAGGTTTGAGCCTTGCGCCAGGATTGCTACGGATATCCTCCCCTTCCTCCTCCTTTTCCTTCTCCTCCTCCTCCTCCTACTCCTCCCCCTCCCCCTTCTCCTCCTTGCTCGGCAACCAGTTGCGCAGCATCTCAGCGGGATATCCACCACACTCGGGCAAGCGCACGGCAGCACTGACAATGTGCCAGTGGGGGAAGCGGCGAGACGAAGCCGAGAGACCAGGATGATTTGTACGGCGAGACGACAGAAAAGCAGGGACGAGGAGAGAGGAGGAGGAGGCGGAGGAGGAGGAGGAGGAGGAGGTGGGAGACCTCATCATCCGTCCTTCTCCCCCGTCCTACCAGTGGTAGTGGTGGTGGAGACTTGGTCCATCATCATGGACAGCGTGTCGCGCCAAAGCGTGGTGGGCCAGAACCAGCTGCGCGACGCGCTGAACCAAAGTTCCTGACCGTACGGTTGTGCCGCTGTCTCTTTGTCTGGGGCGTTGCTCAATTGGGGGGGTTGATTACAGGGGGGAGGGCAAGTGCACATCTCGGGCCCCAAAAGCTTGTTTGGGCCCCAAAAGGGCCCCTGTGGGGGCACGAAAGGGCCCTTTTTCTGCAGCCCTCGCTGTCCCCCCCCCCCAACTATCGCCTCCCTATTTCGCGACGCCCGGCGGCCGTTCGAGACGATCCAGGCACTCCCGGAACGCCGTCGGCGAGGCGCAGCTGAGGGAAAACACCCCAGACCTGGAGAACCGCAGAGAACGATCGAAAACGTCCGAAAACCTCAAACCGCGAGCCCCAAAACCTGAAACCTCGAGCCCAAAAGCCTCGTGCATGCCATTGCTTTTTTGTCTTCTGTCCTTTTAGACGTCAGGCTTAGCCACAAGCTCCCAGCCGAGAATCCTCGGCAGGGAGCCGGGGCCCGCGGGCGCCGCCACGCGGAGACGCCACACGGACGCGTTGGGCACGGAGCCGCGCGGCCGCTCCTCGCAGACGGCCATCGCGAGGATCGGGGGGCCCAACGGGGGTGGATTCTTCAGGTCGCCTCCTCCTTCTCCTCATCCTCCTCCTCCTCCTCCTCCTCCTCCTCCTCCTCCTCCCCCGCCTTCCCCTTCTCCTCGCCCCTCCTGTTCCTTCTCCTCCTTGTCCTCCTCCTCCTCCTCCTCCTCATCATCATCATCATCAGCATCATCATCCTCACCATCATCAGAATCATCATCGTCATCATCATCACCATCGTCATCAGCATCAGCATCATCATCATCATCATCATCATCATCATCATCTCCCATCCCTTCGTCCTCACCCCTCCACCTCCTAGTCCTCCTCCTCCTCCTCCAGCAGCAGCATCACCAGTATGAAACATCATCAGCAGCAGCAGCATCACCATCCTCAACATCACCACCACCATAATCACAACCAGTATCAGCATGGTCATCATAAGAGTCATCAAAATCATCATCAGCAGCATAAGCTTCTTCTTCATCACCGACAGTTACAACCACAACGACGACAACAACAACAAGCACACCACCAACAACAAAACAACAACAGCAACAACAACAACACCAACAACAACAGCAACAGCAACAGCAACAGCAACAACAACCAAAACAACAACCACAGCAGCAACAGCAACATCATGAGCAATCACGATGCCAACGACAACAACAACAACGACAACAACAACTACAACAGTTATAGACAATACAACACAACAACGACGACAACAGCAGCAACAACAATAATCTTAAGACTGTTCGCCCTTATATGCTCGAGCGTCCAATAACGCGTATTTCCCAAACCCTCGATACCCGCCCTCTTCGTCTTCGATCAAACCCCTTTTGGGGGGTATACCTTCCTTCCCTGCAGGCGGGGCCCCGGCAAGCGGCGGGGCGGCCGCGGACCGTCGGCCTGGCCAGCGGCAGCGCTGATCGGCGGGGCGGCCGCGGACCGTCGACCCGACCCCAAGAGGGACGGCCAGGGGACCGACCACGACGACGACGACGACGACGAAAACGACGACGACGACAACGTCGAAGACGACGGCGACGACGAGCGAAAGCGAGCGAGAGCGAGAGAGAACGCCAGCAGGGCCACGAAGGGCACGAAGTAGGCCACGAAGGGCGACAGCGGGGACACGAAGGGAATGCGTATGGGGCCACGAAGAACGCGAACGAGCGGGGGCCACGAAGTGCAGATAATGCGGGGCCACAGAAGGCAACTATGGGGCCACTGAGGGTAGCAACTGGGCCACGTAGGACAGTGAGGGGGACACAAATGGCGACAGCGGAGCCACGAAGGGCATGCACATGGGGCACAACGGGCGCGACTCCTGGGTGCCTGGGTGTCGGGAGCGCGGCGCTTGGGCAACTTGCAGGACATTCCAACGCAAGGCTATTCTTCAGTAAGTTGCAAGCAAGTCTCCAGCGAGAGCGCGACTCCAGAGCGCCGGGAGAGCGATTGCTGAATAAATTTTAAGGAAGTCCCAAGCGAGAGGGCGATTCCTGAAAACAATGCGAGGAAGTCTCGGGCGGGAGCGGGGGTCCTGGCTAAATTGTAAGGAAGTCTCAAGCGAGAGCCGTTGTTGTTGTTGTTGTAACCTGGGGGCCAGGGGCCCAGTTTGAGCATCAAGATTTCCCCTGTCAAAAAACAAGGTGCGTGCGTCGAGGGGCACACTTTGATTGAGAAAAAACAGTATGCACCGGTGGGGGGGATCAATAATAATCATTCTTCAGAACTGAAAATTCAACAACCATAACAACAACAACAACAACAACAACAACAACAACAACAACAACAACAACAACAACAACAGCAACAGCAACAGCAACAGCAACAACAACAACAGTAGCAACAGCAACAGCAGCACCAGCAGCAACAAAAACAACAAACACAGCTACCTTCCGTCGCGTTCACAACTCGAGGGGCTCCGGGGACATCCCCCTCCTTCCACCCGGCCCCCTTCGGACCCCCCGGGGAGGAAGCTGCGGAACCACAGCGAGTGGCCCACCACGGCGAAGCGCTCCAGCGGGCACCGCCACACGAACGACAAGAAGCCTTCCAGCCGGCGCTGCAGGTCCCGGGACGACGTGTACGCGTCCTTCCTCACGCGCGGCCCAGCGAACACGTTGAAGCCTGTGGGGGCGGGGGGGGGGCAAAAACAGACGCGCGCGGGAATCAATGTTCGACGTTGGCGCTGCTTGTGGAGGCGCGAGCGGGGAGCACGAGGGGGGGCCACAGATCTGGCCGGAACCGTCGCGTTCCCCCGACACGACGACGGCAGCACGCGATCGGAGCTCACCAGATTTTCGGAACCATGACTTGTATTCGCTGCGGGCTTGACGCACAAAAGCGCGCGAGAAACCTGCAGCATCCCTGCCTAGGCCGCCCCACAGAACACGGGAGGCGGGCCCTGAGCAGGCTTCAGAAAGGTGGAGTACCAGCTGTCAGGTCTAAGGAGACCGACAGAATTACAGACCAGAACAGTTGAAGAGCCAATGGCTGGAAACAAAAAAAACTCCTGGGGTGCGTTCTGGCCAAGATCTGGAGGCGAAACATCCGGCCGCGGCGACGAGGGACGCAGCACTCCCGCCACAGCTGGACCTTTGACGACGAAGACACGAGCACTGCGGGTGGGGGGGGTGGGACGACGAGGCCACGTGGGAGAGGACACCCAGGCAGTCTGTGCCCCTCCTCTGCCTCAGTCTACGGTCGGGAACCTTTGCTCAGCGCGTCGCGGCGGCGGCCTCGGCGACACGCGAATTCCTTGCGAGCGGCTAGCGAGTCGCTCCGCTCTGCCGGGCGGTAGGCTGGAAAAGGCTCAGGACAGTGACGCACAGGACTGGGAAGTCGCTAGCGTGTCGCGCCGCATCGTGGTGGGCCAGAACTGGCGGCTCGACACGCTACGAAATCCAACATTCCCGACCTTGCAGTCCATGCCCCTCCTCTGCCTCAGCCTGTTGTCCTCCCCCGAGCCTGGCTCCTGAGCGTGCTCTTCCAGGGTCTCCTCCTTCAGGCATTGCACCGAATGCCATGGCACCGCGTCGCCCGGGCCGCCCGTCAGGAACCCCCCGGGCTCGGCCGCGTCCTCCGCGCCGAAGAGCGCTGCGGCGGTCTCCTCTCGGGTCGATCGAATGGGCACAGAGAACCACAACACGTCTTGTTCATTTCGAACCGAGCTCGCTGTCGGCGTCGCCCCAGCCAGTTGTCCATTTGGAGCAGGAGGCCTGCTGCCTAACAGCGGCAGCTGCCAGCTTTGGACAGCATTTGTGATTGGGCACCGCACCCACGTCGTCCATACAGTTAACCTTCACGATAAGCATGCGCGGTGAGGACGCGAGGACCTAAGAGGGCCATGTTGACGTTTTTGCGAACGAGGTTGGCCAGCGAAAGTCACTGAGGATGGGCCGACGGAGCAAGGGAAGGATGCAAGAGTTATATTGCACCCATAGCACTAAAGGACCACATCTCCGAAATAATGATACTGGAGAGAAACCTCAATCATAATTTGTTTGGGGGTTATAGGGCTATCGGGCCATAGGGCAAGAGGGCTAGAGGGCTAGAGGACTAGAGGGCTCTTGGACTGCTGGGCTATAGAGAGGGCTAGAGGGCTCGAGGGCTCGAGGGCTGTAAGGCTATAGGGCTATAGGGCTATAGGGCTGTAGGGCTGTAGGGCCATAGGGCTATAGGGCTATCGGGCTATAAGGCTCTAAGGTTTATTGGGCTACGGGGCACCCGGGCACCAGGGCGGGCCGCCGAAATCGGCGACGAAGCTACTGGGCACCTGGGCACCCGGGCACCAGGGCAGGCCGCCAAAATCGGCGACGCAGCTAACCTAACTATATGAATCCGCTAGGACCCCTACAGAGGCAAGCTCTGATTGGGGAATTTCGAAGACCCAGAAAAGTATCGAAGCAGTGTCGAACGAATATCGCCTCCCAGGGCCCGACGACTCGAGAAAAACCCTCCAGATTCGGTACTTTCTTGGTGCCCGAAATTCTTTCCGGCGGTCAAGGCTTAAAAAAGTTTGAACATCACAATGCAAGGGTATCCTTGGAACGTCGCTAACCATTCCTATGCGGGCTGCCTGTATCCACTTCGGGCGTCCAAGAATCCTCCGCGCGGCGGAGCGGCGAGTGCAGCACCGCCTGCAGCTCTGGCAGCAGCGCCTGGCACGCGGCGCGGACGCTGCCGAGCTCCGCCCTGCCCTCCTCGGACAGCGCCGAGTCCACGCCGACCGCGCACAGCTGGCACGCCGCCCATGGCTGCAGGAGCGAGATCCTGTGGCTGTAGTGGTTGGACATGGACTGCGCGTGGCGAACGAAGTATACCACCTTGGGAGCGAAGCGAAGCGAAGCGAAGCGCCGAAGTCGTGCGCGCTCCACTAGGGAGCCCGCCGGTACCTACTGGGGCATGGCGCAGAGGCCGTGGCTTCGACCATGCATGCCGTGACCGCCCTGGGAGGGGGTCGACATTGGAGGGGGGGGGGCTGCTCAAGGGGGGGGGGGGGGAACACGTGCCCTGGCATCGGCGGTGCGCCTGTGGTGGATCGGAGAGAGGCTCCCGAGCACAGGCCGCACAACTTCTGGGCGGGGTGGGGAACCCAGGCCCGGGCGGGCGAGGAGCGGGCGATCAAGGATGGTGCTGGTTCCCCTGTGAAGGAGCCCTGGGACACGCAAATAAATAGACACAAATAACAGGACTCCCCATATTTTCTTGTATTTTCTTGGTTTTTGTCTTCCCCCCCACTACCCATATTTTCCCATATTTTCCTTGGGGTCGACGATCAATTGTGTCTGTGTGTTTTTTCCCCTCCTGACCCTGGGCCCGCCTCCCCCCGTCGGCGCCCCCCCCCTGAGAGGGTTCCACAGAGTAGAAGCCGGCAGGCAGGGCTACGCCAGCTCCTGTCCAAGGCTGCAGGGCAGGCGTCCTGGCCTGGCAGCGACTCGCTTGAACTTGCAGCGTGTCCTAAGAAGCGTTTTCTCACTGGCACCCCATAGACGAAACAAAAAAAAAACTAAACGTGTGGCGGTCCGCGCAGATTTCTTGGATCTGCGCTGGAAGCCCCCCTCCCCATGGCGCGCGGAGTGCGCCAGGAGCGGCGCCGGATGCGCCGCCGGGGGGGGGGGCCAGCGCGGATCCAAGAAATCCGCGCAGAGCGTCAAAAGCTTATGCATATGGCGTCATTTCTGCTTCGACCCCAGTCCGCCGCGACCGGTTCTGCGGGTCCTGGTGCCCCGCAGGGGCCCCCAAAGGGCTGAGAGCGGCCCGAGACCGTCCGTGGGGACGCTGTCACGGCGAGAGGGGCGGGGGAAACCTCCAAACATCAGCAAAAACGGCCGACACCTTGTGCCAAGAGGAACCCCAAATAATTCACGACGAGAGCAGGCGGGGGGGCCTTGCAGCCCCCACTCGCGGCAGCGCCGGGCGCGCGCTCGGCGGCCTCCATTCGAGGAGCAAGAACTTGCGTAAACAGAAACGTTCGGAGGTCCGCGCTGATTGCGTGGGTCCGCGCTGGACCCCACCCATTCCTGGCGCGCGGAGCGCGCCAAGGGCGGCGCCAGAAGCGCCACCAGGGGGGCCCCAGCACCGATCCAAGAAATCCGCGCGGACCGTCGAATGCTTATTTCCCGAAGCAGTGCTTGCACTTATGGGGGTTTGACCCGTTCCCCGAACGGTGCTTGCACTCAGCGGTTCTCACTCTGGCCATCGCTCAGACGTCCATTCCCTGTGTTTTTGTTTTCCGGTTTCGTGCGCGGCTCTTTCGCCAAATGATCAAGGATGCTCCTCGATGGCCCTCGCCCAAAGAAAGATGCACACGTCCGAGCGATGCCAAGTCACTTGTCCTCTAAGGAGCTGGGCCTGCGTGGTGGACTGGCGGCCCCGTGGTCGCCGTCGCCGCCCCGCCGCACCCTCGTCGCCGCCCGGCGGTCTGGCGGTTCCGTGTGCGCCGTCGCCGCCCCGTCGCCGCCCGATGTACATTGCACCGTCATGAGATCGACCCCCCCCCCGTCCTACTTGTCAAAAAACAACGCAACGTCGACGATTTCCTTGCCAACGTGTGCTTTCTCTTCGTCGGCGTTGCGAATCGCGTAGCGGGATGGGACGCGGCGCACATCGCGCGGGGACGTCTGCTCGTCAACATGGACTTTCTTGTCGTCGACGCTGCGGCCCGTCGGGTTGAGGAGGGGCGGCAAGTCAGAATGCCTCAATCAAGTGCGGTTCAAGCAAGTGCCTCAGGAGACCCCAAAGACGAAAAAAGGCGCCCAGGAGCCCCTCAATTAATGGCCCCCCTTTTCGTATCGCAATTTGCATATGACTCTGCCCCATCGTCCATCGTAGATATGAAGTCGTTCCATCCAAGGCAGGCCGGCATCGTCCCCCCCTCATCCTCAGCAAAAGAAGTATACGAGCGCACTCGATGATCACACATCATATGTTCAATATTCCCTAGCAACAAATGGGACGAAATGCGCACGCGAGCCTCGTCGCGCGCGCATGCGGAAATCTTTCGAAAACTGGGGGTTGCGCAAGGATGCCAAAGTTGATCCCCCCGAAAGCATACAACAAATCGTTTCGCAACAAGACTGTTCAACAAAAAGCCTGCGCTCGTGCTTAGATTCTTGAGAAAATCTTAGAATGTGCAACATGCTCATCAGTTGCTACCACACGGGCCTCTCGCGCGCGCATGTCGAAATCGCTCGAACGCCCTTGTGCGCGTGCTGTCGCAAAAATCCCTTGCAACAAATGGGAAATGGGACGAAGTGCGCTCGTCGCGCGCGTATGCGGGATTTCTTAACACAGGAATAAAGGAACGTAGGGATTTCAAAATCGAGTGTCCCGAAAACAAAAAATTATCCCAGTGCGACCCTACCTAGGAGTTGGAGCCCCTAGGAAAGCAGCATTAGTAGTAGCAGTAAAGCTAAGCTAACGCTAAGCTACAGCTAAGCTACAGCTAAGCTAAAGCTAAGCTAAAGCTAAGCTAAAGCTAAGCTAAGCTAAAGCTAAGCTAAAGCTAAGCTAAAGCTAAGCTAAAGCTAAGCGAAAGCTAAGCTTACGCTAAGCTAACGCTAAGCTAACGCTAAGCTGAAGCTAAGCTAAAGCTGAGCTACAGTTGAGCTGCAGCTAAGTTAAATCTAAGCTAAAGCTAAGCTAAAGCTAAGCTAAAGCTAAAGCTAAAGCTAACACTAAGCTGAAGCTAAGCTAAAGCTAAGTTAGAGCTAAGCTTACGCTAAGCTAACGCTAAGCTGAAGCTAAGCTGAAGCTAAGCCAACGCTAAGCTAAAGTTAAGCTAAAGCTAAGCTAAAGCTAAGCTAAAGCTAAGCTAAATCTAAACTAAAGCTGAGCTAAAGCTAAGCTAAAGCTAATAAGCTAAAGCTAAGCTAAAGCTAAGCTAAAGCTAAAGCTCAAGCTAAAGCTAAAGCTAAAGCTCCCAGGGGACTGGGGGAACCGCGGGGCGGGGACTGGGGGAACCGCCCGGGGCGCTTTACACTGCCCGGCCCCTTTAAGCTAAGAGAGTAAGAACCCTTCTAGGCAGAGCCTAGGTAGGGAAAAAGCATTAGCGTGGCGAAGGGCCCAACCATATGCAGATGTGAACAACGCAAGTGTAAGTATCGTCTTCGGTGGAGCCCATTTCTGGGGACATGAAACGTGTGAGGGGTGTGCCGAAATGGGTGGCGCGGAGGCATGTGGGCAACGCCACTGAGGCCATCGGTGGAGCTCCAAGTGGGGCCCCAAAACGTGTGAGGGGCGTGCCGAAATGGATGGCGGAGACCCGTCTGGGCACCGCCATTGGGGCGTTCGGTCGAGCTCCCTATGCTAGGGCTCCCAACTTCGCGCTTCGCGCTGCGCGAAGCGCGAAGCGCGAATAACTTCGCGCTCTCGCGCCGCCCTCCCAAAGGGAGAATAGGAGGACGAGGAGGAGGGGGAGAAGGAACGAGGACCGCGAAGCGCGAATAACTTCGCGCCCTCGAGGGAGCCCTTGCCTATGGGGCCACGAAGCGTGTGCGGGGTGTGCCGACAAGGGTGGCGGGGACGCATGTGGGCTGCGCCACTGGGACCTTCGGTGGGCCCCTGATGGAGCCACGAAACGTGCGAGGGGCGTGCCGCCATGGGCGGCGGGGACGCATGTGGGCTGCGCCACTGAGACCTTCGGTGGGCCCCTGATGGAGCCACGAAACGTGTGAGGGGCGTGCCGCCATGGGCGGCGGGGACGCATGCGGGCTGCGCCACGGGAACCTTCGGTGGAGCTCCTCTGGAGACACGACGCGGTGGCGGGGGCGCATGCGGGCTACGCCATTGGGACACTCGGTGGAGCTCCGATGGGGCCACGAAACGTATGAAGGTTCGATCAAAATCAATGGCGGGGACGCATGCGGACTGCGCAACTGGGGCCTTCGGCGGAGCCCCCCTGGGGCCACGAAACGCGTGAGAGGCGTGCCGAAATGGCGGGGGGGACGCATGCGGACTGCGCCACTGGGACATTCGGTGGGGCCCCTTATGGAGACACGAAGCGTGTGAGGGGCATGCCGACCTTCTATGGCGGGGACGCATGCAGGCTGCGCCACGGGAACCGTCGGAGGAGCCCCTATGGAGCCACGACACGTGTGAGGGGTATGCCGACATGGGTGGCGCGGACACATGTGGACACCGCCACTGGGGCCTTCGGTGGAGCTCCAAGTGGGGCCGACATGGGTGGCGGGGACGCATGCGGGCTGCGCCATTGAGACATTCGGTAGAGCTCCGATGGGGCCACGAAACGTGTGAGGGGTGTGCCGAAAGTGGTGGCGCGGACGCATGCGGGCTGCGCCACTGGGACATTCGGCGGAACCCCCTTCGGGGCCACGAAACATGTGAGGGGCGTGCCGCCATGGGCGGCGGGAACGCACGCGGGGCTGCGCCGCGGGGGCCCTCGGCACAGCTCGTATAGGGGCCATGAGACGTACGAGGGGTGCACCGAAAGAAAAACATGCGGAGGGCAGAGGCACGGATGGGAGGAGGGAGGAGGGAGGGGGAGGAGGAAGGAGACGGGGCACTGTCTGTTCAAAACGAGAGCTCAACACCACAAAATGGTTGAGAAAACGAATGGCTTTGCAACATCAGCGTTCAAACATGCCGGCTCCCGTGCTCCTGCAAGCGCTTACAAACATCCTCGGTTTATCAGGATGTTCAATAATTCGGCCAAACGGGCTTCTCGCACCGCATGCCGACATCAGTCGAACGCCCTTGCCCTCGTGCTGTGGGGGGGCACGATCCGCATCAAATGATCACAGTGATGGGGCCGAACGATCATTCACTGTCTCTGGGCGCGTGGCAGACTGGAGGTTCTGCGGTGCAGATTGTTGAGTTCTCACTACTGAAAACAACGATTGTTGTGTTTTCAATTGAAGCGCCCATCCTGGGGCTCGCACCCTTTTCTTATCGCGGGAAATGTTGAAAATCAGAAGTGGGTTGTTGCCCCCCCCCGTTTACAACAACAGCGGTTCCCGCCTGATGCGTCCTCACAGTTCATTCGCAGATCGCGCTACCGCGCGGGTCGCTCTCACAACATATGCAGAAATCGCGGTCTCGCATGGAACTTCCCGTCAAGGTATTCAGGCGTCGCGCCTCCAACCCTTAGGAATCACGTTGTCGATCGGGCCTCTCTCGCGATTTACCTGTGAATCGCGCTATGGCTCGACACTTCCTCGCGGTTCATGTTCACGCTTCGGCAACCCGCCTGCTCGACCTGGCCGTCTGGGCCCGCTTTCCAGACCCGCCTGTTAGGGTCTACCCGCCCGATCTGCCCATCTGGTTCCGCCGCGTGCTTTCTGTTCCTAGCCCGCCCCCTGATGATTTCTTTCGTGTTCCATCCTACCCCCCTCGTTTTTCCATCCGCCCTGTCTTCCCCTGTTTTAGGGACTGCGCCAACTACGCGCTGCAGGTAGGGAAGATATACCCCCAAAGGGGGCACGATCGAATATGAATAGGGCGGGTACCGAGGGTTTGATATATACGCGTCGAAGAGCATTCGAGCAAGTAGAAGCGAGCAGTCTAGAAAATGATTGTTGCCATTGTTGTTGTCGTAGTCCCCCCCGCGACCGGGCTCGCGACCCACCCGCGACCCCCCCGCGACCCACCCGCGACCCGCCCGCGACCCAACCGCGACCCACCCGCGACACAACCGCGGCCCACCCCGCGACCCGCCCGCGACCCGCCCGCGACCCACCCGCGACCCACCCGCGACCCTGCCCGCGACCCACCTGCGACCCACCCGCGACCCATCCGCGACCAACCCGCGACTCACCCCGCGACCCACCCACATTGCTTTAACGAAAAAATCGGCGCCTGCGGCGGGCTCAATGCATATGTGGTTCGTTGTTTTTCTTATATATACACGCATTAAAAGTGTTATACATATTTCTTTATTTAATTTTTCTGATAAAACCCTACGACGGGTGTCTT